TGTGTGTGTGTATTTGTGTGTATATAATATTCCACAAAGTCTGCCAAAAGAGTGGTACCGTCAGTAATACATATAAAAGCTTCCCCGAAGGGTGTTTATAATTACTTCGTATAACTATTGCTTGTTGTTGTTGTTTTTTTATTTTATTTTAATGAACTATAGTAGGTTTTTTTTTAGTACCAAACTAGATTTTTTAAATGATACAACATTGTGGAGTTATCTTATTTCTATTTTATGCGATTTGAAAACTACTGTGAGTTGTAAATCGTATACAATTATACAGATTTAGGTATTAGGTTATGTCGTTTGCAACGTTAGCCAAAAAAAATGATACTTACAGAATTCAAACAATTAATATACCTAGATGTCCTAGATATAAACATAAAATGATCATTTACATTTCAATAATAGCATATAATATATACCGTGTGTTCATCAATTTAGGGAAMACTGAATTTCTCGGCCGGATTATGTTGGAATAAATAGAATTTTTTTTTAAAAGCTAGTACACTTTCAAATAAATTTCAAATTTTTAGCACTCTTGGTATGTGCATGCGCAATGCAACTTATTTTTTTTTTAAATAGTAACTGGTATTTTTGATACCAAATTCGGATAGACTGATTTTTTTAAAGTTATATTGACCAATTGACTATGGCTTTAATACCAAAATTGACTGAACGAGAGCCATTCAAATTTCGATAAATAATACATTTTWACAATTCATTATAAAATTCATAAAACCAATTATAATTATTTATTATTGATTACTTTTTGAATATTTTTACGTATACAGGTGTAATCAATTTAATTTTATATCCATATTATGTTAATATTATTTATAACACGTATAAAAAAAAAAAATACGTAAAAATATTCAAAAAGTAACCAATAATAAATAATTATAAATAATAATTCTTTATGCCTAGTAATATAAATAAAAATTTTAGTAGTCAAATTGCTTTTTATTAAAAATATAAAATATAATTTTTAATTATGCTTTCATAGAGGAAAATTATTAATTATTAATTAAGTTTTAAAATATAACAATTCGAAGGGTATAATTTATATTTGCATACAAATTAATAACTTAATATTTTTTTTAAATGCGAAAAACCTATATGAAATATTAGTTTAAATACAATAAATAAATAAACAAATTCAGATATAAAAAAGTAATAACTAGAAAAATATCAGAATATTTCTCGAAAATATGTAAAAATTATCTTCTGGAAAAAACACAGAGAAACACCGTTACCGGCGATTTAGAAAATTCTATCATTAAATGAATATTTTAGGTATTTTTGAGTAGGTAATAACATAATTCTTTAAGCATTCCCTATATTGACTGGAAATTTCAAAAAAAAAATGCCTGAATGACAAGAAATTKATATAATGATCGTCGATCGATTATAACACGTTATTTTATATTTTAGAGAGTAGATATACCATGAGTAGATAGGTGCACATAAATTATGTTATCGAGTTGCTAAAATTTTAAAATTTGCAAAGTATAAATAATCATTCTGTTGGTTTCATGTTAGTTATCGACAAATTTTGTATTTATTCTTTAAATTAATGTTGATACATACAATAATAATTAGAAAATCATAATTTTTCTTTTTATTTTATAGTCAATCTTTAAATAAAAGCTATGTTTCATCTACATTTAMTGTCATAATATTATGGATTCTATACATTATCCGAACATTTTTTTATACACACAAATCTCCACTTCGCCCCCAGCTTTGAACCGTTGAGTTGTGAACACTCGAACCTTCATGGCT